ATCCTTCCTGCTCTGGTTACCATCTGGTCATGTGAGAGTTCCTGCTGGCCTGGGGAGATCAGGAAGTTCTCCCTGCCCAGCCTGTTCCTTTGGCTATATGTAGATTGGGAAGTGTCTGTGGAGGGGCGTGGTGCTGACATGTTCACAGCGATGAATTGAATCCATGCTTGGGTCCAAGGCTGTTCACCCATAAAAGAGTGAGTCAAGACTAAAAGGCATCTCTTTCCTTGTACCACCTACTCCACCTGTGTCTCCCAGTTCTATCAAAGACACCTTGGAAGAGGATGTTTGGTACAATAATTTCCATATGACAAAGCAGAACCAAAGCAAGTGGGTAGAAGAAGAAGCAGAACACCAGGACTAAGAAGGTGTCAGTTCATGGGTGACCATCTTCCTGATTTGCCTGGACTGAGAGGTTTACCAAGATGAGTATGTGGGACTTTCTGTGATATCATTGCAATAGATCCAGGCTAACCAGTTTGAAGTGGTGACTCTAGCCCTAACCTTGGATTCCAGAATAGTCAGTGCCATTTTTTCTCTTTCTCTCTTTTCAATAAGGTATTACATTAGTTGAGATGATATCTGATTCCTCTTTGAGGTCTAACATGTTTATAACTTTTTTTTAAAATTTTTTTTTACTTTGATAAACGTATTTTATTTTATTTTTATTAATTTTTTTTGAGACAGAGTCTCACTCTGTTGTCCAGACTAGAGTGCCATGGCATCAACCTAGCTCACAGCAACCTCAAACTCCTGGGCTCAAGTGAGCCTCTTGCCTCAACCTCCCAGGTAGCTGGGATGACAGGCATGTGCCACCATGCCCGGCTAATTTTTTCTATATAGTTTTAGTTGTCCAGCTAATTTCTTTCCATTTTTTTAGTAGAGACGGGGTCTCGTTCTTGCTCAGGCTGGTCTCGAACTCCCAAGCTCAAACGATCCACCCGCCTCGGCCTCCCAGAGTGCTAGGATTACAGGCGTGACATGTTTATAACTTTTTAAAAGTATATAATTCATTTAAAATGAAAATTGTTTGTTTTCAACTTAATATCATTACTTCGATGTCCTTGTTAACAAGTTAGGAAATAGAAATTGATCCCACTCCTTTCAAATTATACCCTTTTACTCATCCCCTAGGTAGCTAACCATTAT